AAAAAAAAAAAAAGGAAAGAAAAAATTCGTTCAGAGAGTATAAAAAGATCAAGTATTTTGTAAAGGGTAGATAAAAGTAGATGACTTAGAAACACATCATTGCTCCATGTGTAAACCTGAGACTCTTGTGCCTATGTTGACTTTGATTCTTTTCACAGTACATTGAAATTATCAACTGACCAGGTGCAGTGGCTTATGCCCATAATCTCAGCACTTTGGGAGGCCAAGGTAGGCAGATCACCTGAGGTCAGGAGTTCAAGACGAACCTGACCAGTGTGGTGAAACCCCTGTCTCTACAAAAAATACAAAAATTAGCTGGGTGTGGAGGGGGACATCTGTAATCCCAGCTACTCGAGAGGCTGAGGCAGGAGAATAGCTTGGACCTGGGAGGCAGAGGTTGCAGTGAGCCAAGATCGCACCATTGCACTCCAGCCTGGGCTACAAGAGTGAGACTCTTGCCTCAAAAAAAAAAAAAGAAGAAAAATGGGGAGGGGGCTGGGCATGGTGGCTCATGCCTGTAATCCCAGCACTTTGGGAGGTGGAGGCAGATGGATCACTTGAGGTCAGGAGTTCGAGATCAGCATGGCCAACATGGTGAAACCCTGTCTCTACTAAAAATACATATGGGCGTGGTGTGGTGGCATGTGTCTGCAATCCCAACTCCTCAGGAGGCTGAGGAAGACGAATCGCTTGAGTCTGGGAGGCTGAGGTGCAGTGAGCAGAGATCAAGCCACTGTACCCAAGCCTGGTTGACAGAGCAAGACTCCATCTCAAAAAGAAAAGAAATGATCAACTTACTTTTCTGCATATTCTGCTAGAAGTTGACCTTTTGAGTGAAACTCTTGTGTCTGCATTAGCAGAATCTGTCTCATAGTAGACTGTGGTAGGCAGAATTCTAAGATAACCCTCAACAACCCACAGCCTACATAATTCATCCCTGCAAGGGTGGGAGGGACTGTGAATTGGCTATCAGTCTCATGACTGTGTTAATTATATAGCACTTTAAGAAAGGGAGATTATTGTTTAAGGAAGGGTGATGTCCTTGAAAGGTCTTATCAAATCATGGGAGTCCTTTGTATCTGGGTCTGGAAGTCATAGACCCAGAGAAGTCAGAGATTGAAAGCCTAAGGAGGATTTGCTGCAAGAGGTCCTGGGGCCATCCCTGAAGGAGGAAGCTGGGTATTGGGAGACGGCCTGTGGGAAGTAGCCGAGCGGCCTCTAGAGGTCACAGTGGCTCCCAACAAGCAAATGAAAGCCTCGGTCATTCAACTGCAAGAAACAGAATTTTGCCAACAACCTAAATGGGCTGGAAGGCAAATTCTTCTGCAGAGCCTTCAGAGAGCTTGTGGCCAGTGGGCACCTTGAGCGTGAAACCTTCAGCAGAGAACCAAGTTGGGCCACGCCAGACTCCTCACCCATGGGAATGGCGTGCTGATACATTTGCGTTGTTTTAAGCCACTAGGTTTGTGGCAATGTGTTGCACTGCCACAGAACACTAATAGGAGTTTCGGTCCCAGGAATGAGGTGCTGCCATAAGAAACATTTAAAAATATGCCAGCAGCTTTGGAACTGGGCAGTGGGTGGGGCCTGGAAATATTTCGAGGAACATCATTTAAAAAACTTAAACTACCTTAGAGAAACCTTCTGCTTCCTTGGATAGACCATGCATAGAAATCTAGACTTTAAAGCTTCCGTGGTTGACAGCTCAGGAGGTGGGGGGCATGCTACTGGAAATGGGGTAGGTCCTGATGGTGTCAGCAGAAACTGTCCAGCTGCTGTGTGGGGAGCAAACTGTCAGGGGCCTGTTTGCACATACATGTAATTGCCAGACAGGTGCTTCCTGCCTGCTGCACAGACAAAATCAATCTACTGAGACCGTGGCATTGCAGTAGGGAGAGACTTTCTTTCACCCAAGCCCAACTCACACAGGAGAACTGGAGTTATCACTCAAATGGGTCTCCCTGAAGGCTCAGAAGCCAGGGGATTTTATGGACAATTGATGGGCAGGGGATTAGGGAAGGAGTGCAGCTGATTGGTTGCAGATGAAATTATAGGGTGTGGAAAATGGTCCCGGTGCACTGAGTTCACCTCTGGGTGGGACCACAGGGTCATTTGAATCACGAGTCACAAGTCCAGGTGGGGTCAGTCTGAAAAAAGCTAAAGAAAAAAAGCAAAACAATCTTAGGTTCAACAGTAGTAACATTATCTACAGGAGCAATTGGAGAATCACAAAGCTGTAAGGGATTATAGACACTATGCCTATCTTACCAGAATTCAGTCCCCTCCCATGATCCTATTCTTATGGCCTTTCATTAGTCTTACCAAAGGTGGTTTTCAGTCCCTGAGGAAGGAAGGCATTAGTTTTAGGAAGGGACCATTATCACCCTTGCTTTCAAATTAAACTATAAATTCTTCTCAAAGTTAGTTTGGCTTAGCCCCAGGAATGACCAAGGACAGCTTGGAGGTCAGAAGCAAGATGGAGTCAACTATGTCAGATTTCTCTTACAGTTATAATTTTGCAAAGGCAGTTTCATGTGGCTTAGGACATTTCTAAGCAAAGCTTTGAGGTGCTACCTGGTTTCTCCTTGCTACTTACAGAAAATGTCAGGAAAGAGAGAGAAATTGAGGGGAGAACTTCTAAACCAAAAGGAACCAGGACTGGAGGGTTTCAAAAATTCTTAGCCTCTCCAGATGTCAAAAGATGCTTAAAGTCAGAGACGGTCGCTGAAACCACGGCACAGAGAAAAGGTTGAGACTATAATGTTCTGCTAAGACCCCAGAAAAACCAAGAGATCAGAATAGTCAGTCAATTGGAAGGGCCCTTTCAAGACCTTGAGGTAGAGTCACAACAGAGGCCCAGGTGGAGGAGGGACTATCTCTTATCTAATGAAGCGAAAGTGGTGAAACACACTTAAAAGGATCATTAGGTTCTTGAGATGTTTATGTCAGCAGAACACTCCCAGCTCCTACTGGCAGGGGTAGAGAAAGTACGTAGTGAAAGAAGGCCCCCAGAATTCCACCTGCAGGAAGCAAGGCAATAGAACTACTCAGATCCAAACATGTTGCTTGGCATAAAAAAGGAAGGATGACCAGAGCTGAGAGCCACGGAGAATTTTTTCCCAGGCCTCGAAACCTAATGGAGTTTGTCCAGAAGGAGATAAAAGCTCTTAGGGACCAGCGACTGCTTTTTATTGTCCATCCCCCAACCTCCTTTTGAGCGTTATCCTATGCCTGATTTGCCATTGTATGAGCAGAGAGTTGGGGTAGGAAGTTTCTTTAGTTTCATAGGTCCACGGGTGAGGAAGAATTGTGCTCAAGGGGTGTATTTAGCAGATTACAGCTGGGAACCTCATCCATATTCTATTTGGAGTATTTAAATGATGAGATTATGGACTTTGAGCTGATGAGATAATTCTATTTAGATTTAGGTGATGAGACTTTGAATTTTAAGTTGAGACTCTAATGAGATTGTCAGAGGTTTTCAAACCAGAGCAACTGCATCTTGAGTAGGGGCTGGGTAAAATGAGGTTGAGACCTACTGGGCTGCAGTGAGGCTTTTTTTTTTTTTTTTTTTTTTGAGACAGAGTCTTGCTCTGTCACCCAAACTGGAGTGCAGTGGTGTGATCTCGGCTCACTGCAACCTCCACCTCCCAGGTTCAATTGATTCTTCTGCCTTAGCTTCCTGTGAGGCTGGGACCACAGGCACCTGCCACCATGCCGTGCTAATTTTTGTATTTTTAGTAGAGATGAGGTTTCACCATGTTTGCCAGGCTGGTCTCGAACCCCTGACCTCAGGTGATCCACCTGCCTTGGCCTCCCAAAGTGCTGGGACCGCAGGCGTGAGTCACTGTGCCCAACCCCCAGGACGTTAGGTATTGTAAGTCACAGGATGGGACAGGAGGTCGGCAAAAGATACAAGTCTTAAAGGCCTTGTTGATAAAACAGGTTGTGGTAAAGAAGCCAGCCAAAATCCACCAAAACCAAGATGGTGACAAGAGTGACCTCTGGTTGTCCTCACTGTTCATTATATGCTAACTATAATGCATTAGCATGCTGAGAGACACTCCCACCAGAGCCGACAGTTTCAGGCAAGGTCAGGAAGTTACTCAATATAGTCTAGAAGCGGGGAGGAACCCTCCATTCTGGCAATTGTCCATCCCTTTCTCTGGAAACTCATGAATAATCCACCCCTTGTTTAGCATATAATCAAGAAATAACCATAAAAATAAGCAACCAGCAGCCCTCAGGACTGCTCTGCCTATGGAGTATCCATTCTTTTATTCCTTTACTTTCTTAATAAACTTGCTTTCACTTTATGGACTCCCCAAATTCTTTCTTGTGCAGTATCTAAGAACCCTCTCTTGATGTCTGAATTAGGACCCCTTTCCAGTAACAGGGTGAGGCTCTTGGAAATTTTGAGGTATGGTGAATGCGTTTTGGGGTTTTGGGAGGGACATGAGCCACTGGAGGCCAGAGGTTGGGCGGTGATAGGCAGAATTCTAGGATGACTCCCTGCCACCCAGCTGCTATCTGTGGCCCTCCTGTTGAGTGTGGAGGAAACTGTGACTGCGATGTCACAGCCCTCTCATGACGGTGTCATGCCAGAGTTTAAGAAAAGGATATTATATTGTCCCTGGTGGCCCTGACCGAATCCCAAGAGCTGGCGTCCTTATGGAGGGCTGGGCTGAACTCGGAAAGCAAGCTGGAAATGCATGATGACATGATGTGAGCACTTGTCCTTCACCATTACTGCATATATCTGGGCTTGGACCATAGCTGCCTTCACGTCTCCCCAGCACAGTAGGGCTCCTGGAAGGAGGGGCCCTATGACCTTCTGGGGGTTCCCAGTGACCTCTGCCTCCTACAGGCCTGGGTTCCCCGAACCGGCCCTGGCGGGATCCGGTCCCAGTACCCCGAGGCGCACAGGCGGTTTCCTGGAGCCCCGCGGTTGGCCACGCGCCGCGCTCTCCGCCCAATCGGGGACGCCGCGGCCACCGGCCGGATGGAGGACTCCAGGGCACAGCGCTCAGGACGGGGCCGGCGGGGATACTGCGCGCTGGCCGCCGCCCTGCTGTGGCCCATCCTCCTGCCGCTGCGCGTCCAGTCCGCCCCGTCCCTCTCCGCAGGTGAGCTGGGCGCAAGGGCGCCCGCCTTTGGTGGCCCTCCCGCTCCGCCCCACGCTGACCCAGCCAGGAGGGCCCGGCCGGGCCAGGTCTGGCTCTCGGGCCCGGGAGGAAGGCGCCTTTGGAAGGAGGGGAGAGGGCTCCCAGCTGGCTCTTCCAGGTTGGCTCTCAGGCCCCTGTAGTGCACCGCCCCGCGGGCAGCGCCCCACACACCTTCATTTCCAGGATGGGGAAATGCTACTGCAGACGGCTGGGGCGGAGTGTCTCCCATTCGCTCCAGCCTGGGAGAACACTGGGCGGGGGAGGGAGGGCACAGCGGCTTAGGGGCCGCGCGCCAGTGGAGCGGCGTCTGCGCCATCACACACCACCTGGAGGCCTGGAAGAGCCGGGGCCAGTGCTCACCTTCCAGCCCCACGGGCCGTCTCCCCTCACAGGGGCCTTGGGCTGTGTGCTCCCGGGTCATCAGGCGGGGCTGTCACAAGTGCCACGTGGCTTCACCCTGGGCCTTGGGCATGTCCCTCCTGTGAAGTGAAAGGAGGGGCCTGGTGGCCCCGGGTCCTGTGGATGCTGACATTTAGGGGAACCAGAGCCTGGCGTCCTTCATGCAGGCACCTCATGGCTGGGTGTCTCCACAGTGTGTGGGAAGACCAGATTCAGCGGGAATTCCTCCCGGAGGCCCACCGGGAAGATCTTTGGCGGCCAGAGGGCGGAGCCTGAGCGGTGGCCATGGCAGGCCAGTGTACTCTACCGAGGCAGGCACATCTGCGGAGCTGCCCTCATCGACAGCAACTGGGTGGCCTCTGCTGCTCACTGCTTCCAACTGTGCGTCTTCCCTCCGCGGGCCCTGCTGTGGGAGGGCATGCAGGACGGAAGTCCAAAGTGGGGGGCACAGCTTTTTCTTTATAGGCTTTGTTCCGGGACAGTTTGCTGCTCCCAGGTGTCGTGCCTTTGACCCAGCAGTGCACCCGTGCCTGGAATGCCGTCCCTGTTAGTCACTCGGCTCCAGTCTCCTGACCAGCTGTGTGGCATCTCCCAGGCAGAGGCTCCTACCTCATCTCTCACTCCGGACATGGGGATGCCCACCCCACCCCACCCCACATTGGTCAACCTGCTAAGATGACTTGGTTGTCTCGTTATATGCACATGACTTTGAAATAGCTAAATGGAGCCGGGTGTGGTGGCTCACACCTGTAATCCTAGCAGTTTGAGAGGCTAAGATGGGAGGATTGTATTAGTCCGGGAATTCCAGACCAGTCTGGGCAACACAGTGACACCTCATCTCTACAAAAATTACAAAAACTAGCCAGGCCCGATGGTGTGTGCCTGTAGTCCCAGCTGTGGGGCCCTCCTCCTGCATGCCTGCATCCGCCTCCCCCAGGGCCTTTCCTGCTCCCATCCCCTGTCTGGGGCAGGGTCTACCATGGTCCTTGGCTTGTGCCTCACTTTCCTGACCATATGAAAAGCCTCAGGGTGGGGTGTGCATCTCTGTCCTACACAATGGCCTCACTTGAGGCCTTACACCTGTGGGTGCTGAATACATGAGGTCCCATAAATGAGTGGGACAAATAAATGAATAAATTTTGAATGGGAACCTCGCTGCTCACCCCGTATATTTGTAATATATTTGTCTATTTGCAGACAGAGAGGGAAGAAATGTTAGGCAAAGACTTGCAAAATGAATGATTTTGACTTAGGAAAATATAATGATGATGCAAAAAAGTAGAATGGCAAGTTGGCATTATTTGTGGGGTCATGAGCTGGCAGATGTCTCAGAGCAGGCATTCGGGACAGGACTTTCTTGCATGAGCAGGCCACAGCTGGCCTCCCTGCCCTTGGCCACTGAACGCCAGTCACATGGCCCTATTCATGAGAGCAGCCGGCCCTCCAAAGGCAGCCTCCTGGGACTGTCATTCTCTGAGAGTCAAGGCAGAGAAGATTCTCCTGGAGGAGGATCACTTGGGCCTGGGAGGTCAAGGCTCTAGTGAGCTGTGATCACACCACTGCACTCCAGCCTGGGTGACAGAGTGACCCAGTCCAAAAATAAGTAAGTAATAAATAAATAGTTGAGGCTTGTCACAGTGGCTCACACCTGTAATCCCAGCACTTTGGGAGGCCAAGGCAGGTGGATTGCTTGAGCCCAAGAGTTCAAGACCAGCCTGGGCAACAGGGCAAAACCCCATCTCTACTGAAAATACAAAAGTTAGCCAGGTACGCTGGGGCCTGTCTGTGGTCCCTGCTACTGAGGAGGCTGAGGCAGGAGGATCACCTGAGCCCAGGGAGGTCAAGGCTGCAGTGAGCTGTGATTGTGCCACTGCACTCCAGCCTGGGCCACAGAGCCAGACATTGTCTCAAAAATAAAATAAAATAAAATAAAAAGCTAAATAAAAATCAATTCACTCTAGTTGGGATTATCAATAAATAGAGGAAAACAGACTTTAGTTCTAAAGGGAACCACCTCCAGCCCACTCCCCGTCTGCTATAAACTTTAGGAATCAAAATCCGAAGGTTCCACTCAGGATGAGCTTAGATTTCTGCGTCTTGCCCGGCTCTAGTCCATCCACCAGATCTCAGTGGGCCTCGATTTTTCTTGTGTAAATGGTAGTGGGTATGCAGTGTCCCAGGCCACACACTTGACACACGCTTCAGGTGATAAGACAGAGTGACACTCCCAGGGCTTCCCAGGGCCAGGCACACATGGTGGGGCGTCTGGTCCTTCCAGCCAGCAGGCTGTCCAGGGAACAGCTGCCAGAGGCTCCTCTAGGTCCTGGCTGCCCACATATACTGGCACATTCTTCCCCAGAAGGGTCCTGTGACTCTGCATGTCCAGCCGCCAGGGGCTTTTTGTCACTTCTGTAGAACTTTGTGCCACTGTCCACAGAGACCAGAGTGAGGGATGAAACAGATGGCCTCTGTCCAGCAGGTGAGAGGCAGAGGGTCAGGAGACAAGTGCCTCCTCCGATGCTTCCTGGGCTCGCTGTGTGCCCAAAGGGAGTGAGGGAGGATGTGAAATTCTGAGCCAGGAAGCCAGAGCTTTGGACATAGCTGGCTGTAGCATCCTGCTCAGGTCCCACTCATGTATTCAGCACCCACAGGTGCCAGGCCTCAAGTGAGGCCATTGTGCGGGACATAGAGATACACGCCCCACCCTGAGGCTTCTCATCCGGTCAGGACAGTGAGGCACAAGCCAAGGACCATGGTAGACCCTGGCCAGACAGGGGCTCGGAGCAGAAAAGGCCTTGGGGGAGGTGGATGCAGGTGTGTGGAGGGAGGAGGGCCTCACAGGCAGAACCGGTGGGTTGGAAAGTTACTTGTTTTCTGGAAACAAGAAGTTCAGTTCCATGAACTCCTCCCAGTGCTCCACAAATACCTGCTCAGTTCCTGTCCTTAGGAGAAGGTGGTATGTGAGGTCTGGGGAGAAGCGGGTGGACCATGGTGGCTAGGGAAATAGGGTCTTTGAGAGTCGCTGTAGGCCATGGGGCCTCGGGAGGGTTCTGGTCAGAGCTAGGAATGAGCCAAGTCTCTTCTCTTCTGAAATGAAGGGGTGAAGTATAATGCACCCCCAGTGTTTTCTGCACTAAGATTCTCTGCTCTTTGAGTCTGGGGCATGCTGGGAAAGCCATCAGGAATCTTCCAAGGTCAAATGTCCTGAGGCTGTAGGCCCTCAAGCTCATGTCAAGAGCAGGGCTATCTAATAGGAGGAAGGCAGGAGAGAGAACCCCCAGGAATGATGGTGGGGTCTGGGTGCCTGCCAGGCGGGCAGCCGGGGTAAGGGTGCTGGCCCAGCACTCAGAGCAGCCTCCCGACGACAGGTCCAGGAGCCCATCTGATTACCGGATCCTGCTTGGGTACAACCAACTAAGCCATCCCACGAAGCACAGCCAGCAGATGACAGTGAATAAGATCCTGGTGCACGCTGACTATAACAAGTTGCACCGCATGGCGAGTGACATCACCCTGCTGCAGCTGCACCGTCATGTGGAATTCAGCTCCCACATCCTCCCCGCCTGCCTTCCGGGACCAACCACGGCATTGGCCCCTTCCAGCTCCTGCTGGGTATCTGGCTGGGGAATGCTCACCGAGGATGGTGAGCAGTGCTGGGCAGGCAATGCAGGGGAAGGTGCGGGAGGCTGCTTCGGGTCTCTGCCAGTCCTCCCGCGTGTCACGATTCCCCCTGACCTGGGTCAAGTGGCCTGAGCATCTCCCACTTTTGGAGGCAGGCACTTGGGCCCTTTGAGCCATTCAGTACTCCCTGGTTCTGAATGCTGCTGACTCTACGCTGACTCCAAGGGCCTGCTGCGGTCTGGCCCCTTCAGGGCCTCACTAAGCTCCACTGGAGCTTCCGGCTGTGGAAGGTGCCGGGCATCAGTAGCAAGTAAGAGCAGGCCTGCCGTCTGGGCTTGAGAACTCTTACCTCTGAGAATGTAAACCTTGCTGCTCACCCCCTGTATTTGTCATATATGTGTATATTTGTAGACTGAGAGGGAAGAAATGTTAGGCAAAGACTCTTGCAAAAGACTGAATGCTTTGGATTTAGGAAAATATAATGGTGAGTGCAAAAAAGTAGAATGGCAAGTTGGCATTATTTGTGGGGTCATGAGCTGGCAGATAACTCAGAGGAGGCATTCGGGACAGGACTTTCTTGCATGAGCAGGCCAGAAATGGCCTCCCTGCCCTTGGCCACTGAATGCCAGTCACAGGGCCCTAGTCATGAGAGCAGCCGGCCCTCCAAAGACAGCTTCCTGGGACTGTCATTCTCTGAGAATCAAGGCAGAGAAGAGTCTGCCGGACAGGTGGGAGGGGAGGAGCTGGGACCTGGGGAAGTCACCGGTTGGATGCGTTACTGAGCAGAGAGCCGCTGACCTTGATGGAAGATGTGGCTTCTAGTCATCCTTCTCTCTCCAGACACCGGCAGCCCGCAAGGACATATGCAGGCCACACAGGGCAGGCATTGTGCAGGGCTGAGCGCTGTCATCAGGCTGCTCCCACATGGGGACCCCAGGCCAGATCCGAGAGTGACATCTGGAAACAGAGCCTAAGTGTCCCCAGGCCAGTTGCTCCTGGAGGCAGGGCCGTGTCTGGTTTGTCACACTGCTCAAGCCCACCCGGCACCTGCTAGTATGCCACCAGCCAGGCTGGCACTCCAGCTGCCCCTCCCTGCCTCCAGCACTGCCTCATAGCAGCCAGAGGGATTGTTTTTGACACATAAGACACTTCTATTGTGTCCCAGTGTGCTTGGGACAACACTTCCAATACCACATCCTAGCTCGGAAGGCCCCCTGCTCTGCGCCCCACAGTGACTGCACCTCACCCGTCACCCCACGCCTGCTCCCTTGCAGCCACGCTGGCCTCCCTCCCAGTTCCTCTTCTTCTTCTGGACGAGCAGACTGGGGAGGGAGGGCTTCCCTCTGGCTGTGGCTGTGGCCCACATCTGACACCTCCTCCCACAGTCTTGCTGCCTGCACCCTTCCAGCTTCAGGAGGCAGAGGTCGGCATCATGGAAAACAGTGTCTGCGCATCCTTCTTCCAGCCCCAGCACCCCAGCCAGTCAAGCAGCAGTGACTACAGCATCCAGGAGGACATGCTGTGTGCTGGGGACCTCATAACGGGAAAGGCCATTTGCCAAGTGAGTGGGCTCAGTCTTTCTGCCCTGTGCTGCGCTGGGCCTCTGCCACAGGGTCTTCTCTGGACCCTGCCCCCGTCCTGAATTCTTCCCAAGCCCAGCCAAGCCTGAAATGTCGGATCCAGGACAGACACCCCCAAAACACACTGGTCCATCCGTTTTCTTTGCATCTTTCAAGAAACGCTGTTGGCCATGTGCTGTGGCTCATGCCTGTAATCCCAGCACTTTGGGAGGCCGAGGCAGGTGGATCACCTAAGGTCAGGAGTTGAGACCAGCCTGACCAACATGGAGAAACCCTGTCTCTACTAAAAATACAAAAATTAGGTGGGTGTGGTGGTGTGTGCCTGTAGTCCAAGCTACTCAGGAGGCTGAGGCAGGAGAATCGCTTGAATCCGGGAGGCAGAGGTTACACTTAGCCCAGATCATGCCACGGCACTCCAGCCTGGGTGACAGAGCAAGACTCTGTCTCAAAAAAAAAAAAAAAAAGAAGCATTGTTGAATCACACTATACACAGGAAAGGGCTTGAGTGTCCTGTGGAGGGATTCCAGAGACTGACCTCTCATGAACCTGGCACCGGTGGGTTCCATCCATGCCCCATTCCTGACACTAACTCCCCCAGGACAACCCTGCCTGCTTTCTAAAGCATGATGGCTTTGTGTGGGGAGTTTTAGCTGAGTGAAACCATATGGTATGCCAGCAAGCTTTGGCCTGGTCCCTCAGTCTGTTGTGTCTGTGTGAGGCATCCATCTGGCGTGCAGTCTATATTGTTCATTCTTGCTGTCATATGCTATTCCACTGTGCGAAGACACTGCAGTTTTTCTTATCCATTCTACTGTGTGTGGCATTTGGGTGGTTTCCATTTGAGGCTGTTGCAAATGGAATTGCTGTGAACCTCCTGATGCATGCGCGCATGTTAGAGCTCACAGGTTCCCACTCTGGTTGGCGGTCACCCTGGCAGTGGAATTGCCTTCCCATGAGATATGCCCATGTTCGCCTCTCATCGATGTTCTGGGAAACTCTGCAGCCCGGTTGTACCAGTTTGCACTCCCAGCAGCTGGTGGGTGGAAATTCAGGTTGCGCCCTGGTGCTGCCGGTCCTTCAAACTGTCTGCCGTTTTCACATGAACCATTGTGTGCGGTTTTTAATGTGCATTTCTCTGGTGCCGAGTGAAGATAAGCCCTTTGTCATATGTTTGTTGCCTATTTTGTAAAGTGTCCATGCAAGGTTTTTGCCAAGTATGGGACTGTCTGCCTTTCGTTCTGAATGATAGGAGCTCTTTATTGTGGTGTGACCCATTACTGGATATGTTCATGTGTTGTGGATGTCTTCCCGCACTATGTGTAATCTTTCCATTTCGTGGTGGGGGAGCTGAGGCCCAGAGAGGAAGCGCACAGCCCATCGTGAGGGGTCACAGCCACAGTCAAGCTTGGAGAGGCCCTGCCCTCCTCGGGAGCTGTAGGTCCCAGAGGCCCCTGCAGGATCCTTTCCCTCTTTTTTTTTTTTTTTTTTTTTTGAGGCAGGGTCTCACTCTGTCACCCATGTCACCCAGGCCAGAGTGCAGTTGAGAAATCTCAGCTCACGGCAACTTCCACCTCCTGGGTTCAAGTGATTCTCCTGCCTCAGCTTCCCAAGTAACTGGGACTACAGGCATGTGCCACCACACCCGGCTAATTTTTATATTTTTAGTAGAGACAGGGTTGGGACATGTTGGCCGGGCTGGTCTCAAACTCCTGACTTCAAGTGATCCGCCCGCCTCAGCCTCCTAAAGTGCTGGGATAACAGGCATGAGCCACTGCGCCCAGCCTCCTCTCCCTCTCTTGCGCCTCCCTGTTTTTTTCTCTCTCTCCTTGGTCACCCCACAGTGCAGAAACATTCTTCAATGACTCCCATCACCAAATGCCCTACAGACACCCTCCCTGCTCCCCACAACCTCCTCCCGCCCCCCCGTCCCAGCAGGGCTCACCCCAGAGTGTCTGCCTGGGCCCTCTCTTGCTTCCTGGGCTCTGTTCTCGCCACAGCCGTGCAGGCAGGCATTGGTGCAGCATCTGCCATCAGACACTGAGGGCGGCCCCTCCTGCTCTCTGCTCCCCTCCTTGGAGGGGCCTCCTCAGCCTCCTGACACCAAGAGCCCACTGTGCACCGTGGCCCTGCTTCTCTTGCCTTGCTCCATTTCCTTAGAGAGAAAGGGTCAGATATGGCAAGTCCTGTCTGTTGACCATTTCCCGCCAGCCTCTGCCATCCCTTCTTCTGCAGTTGTGTCGTGATGGGGCTCAGGCCGGAACCATCCTACCAGACAGAATCTGCACCAAGTCCCATGGGTTCCCTACCCACTGATGAGGCTGTGGGCTGGCACAGTCAGGCCTTGCTCCTTCCTCCAGCGTTGGCTCAGAGAAGCTCTCGGATTAGAGCAGCCCTTCCGGAGTTCTTCCAGGCCACCCTGCCGCTGCCCGTCCCAGTCCATACGCCACGCCTGCAATGTCTGTTCATGTGGAATGGCCCTCGGGGCCTCCTCAGTGCTGCCTGCATGCAGAAGGGGCTCGGTCTTATTGATTGCACAGATGACAGGAGGGTGCTTATTTTCTTGGGATTCCTTTTTTGGCCTAAGGGATGGGGGTGGTCCAACCATGATGTCAGGGACTTCCCTGTTTGGGGGCCCTGTCACACTCACAATCCCCCGTGCTCCCCTGGGACCCCCTGGCACTCCCCCACCCTCAGGCTGGGCACGGGCAGCACCTCTTTTCCCCTCAGCACATCCCACAGCCTGGCATTTTCTAAAAAGCTCAACCCAGAAATGGAGGGAACACTAGAGACCTTTATAAGCCAAGGACATCTGGATTAGGAACTAGGCTGAATCCCAGCACCTTGGAGGCCAAGGCGGGAGGATCACTTACACCAGGAGTTCAAGATCAGCTGGTAACTTGGCAAGACCCCCATCTCCATTTCAATTTTTTTAAAAAGTTAAAAAAAAAAAAAAGAAGAAAAATTCTGGTGGGATGCAGTGCTAGGCTGGGGATTCCCGCCAAGGCACTCGGCCACACTCGGGACCACAGGCAGTGCCTTCTCCCCACCGGGGCCAGGAGGGCGAGGCCTGGAGTCCCCTGCTTATTCTTTCGGGTCTGTGACTGCCAGCCTGGAGGCTCTGCCCAGGGTTTCCTTGGGAGCTCTGTGGAGTGGGACTCCAGGGCCTCGTCCTCGAGATTCTCATCCAAGAGGTCCCTCCTGGGTCTGGGCTTCTAACATTGCTCAGGTGACAGATGAGTGCCCCTCACTCAGACAGTGCCGACACCTGCCGCACACCTTGCTTCCTTCCCACACTCCATCCTGGAGAAGCACAGGGCCTCCTATGCCCGAACAATGTGTGTCCCTCCCTGTCTTGGTCTCCACCACCCATGTCCTCTCTGTCCTCAGGGAGACTCCGGGGGTCCCCTCGTCTGCCCGTTAAATGGCACCTGGTTCCTGATGGGGCTGTCCAGCTGGAGCATGGACTGCCGCCCGCCTGTCGGCCCCAGCGTCTTCACCAGGCTCTCCTACTTCACCAACTGGATCAGCCAGAAGAAGAGGGAGAACCCCCCACCTGATCCTGCCTTGGCTCCTCCTCAGGAAGCGCCCCCAGGCCTAGACAGCATGACCTCTCAGGCTCCCGTTCACGAGCCCTGGCTCTGTGCAGCCCTGCTGGCTGCTCACACCCTCCTCCTGCTGCTGATTCTCCTGGGGAGCCTGTGAAGGGCTGGGGCCCCTGGCCTCTTAACGCAAGCATGCCCACCTCAGGCCGGCCTCCTTGCTGAGCTCTGCATGCTCCTGACGTGTTTCCATCTCTGGGCTCTCCTGTCCACCCAAGGCCACCCCTGCCCCAGACCTGACAAAATAAAAACCACCCAAGAAGCTACTTGCTCTGGTTTCTGGCCCATCAGCGTCCTCTCCCATGCTCCACTGTGCCTCCAGCTCCTCAGGGAGGGAAGGTCTCCCTTCTCCCTGGGCTGGGACCAGGCTGACCATTTGGGAGGCAAGTCACTCTCCTTGGGGAGTTGGGTCGTGCAGACTCAGGCACCATTCCTGCCATCAAGGGTGTGCAGTCTTCCAGAAAAATGAGGCCAGGGCCTCCCAGCATGGAAGAAGCCACCTGTCCCCCTGAAAGGGGGTGCAGGGCACCAGTCAGGACTGAAGCTGCTTCTTCCAGGCATACAAGTTACAGAAGCTCTCCTCGACAGCTCGCAAGTAGACTGTGAAGGGGGCTGAGGGCTGTGTCAGCAATCCCAGAACTCTGTCCCAGGGGTCAGCTCTCAGCCGACTGCCCACTGTACCCGCAGCCCTGCCTTCTCCCTGCCTCCAGAAACCCAGCCCCCCATCCCTGGGGCTTGTTCCAGCTTGTGGTGGTTGTGGCTTGGCTGACCCAGGACTTGCTGCTCCTGCACTGAGCCCACACAGCAGCCTCCAAGCTGCCCCTGCACCTGCCTGAGTCAGGTTTGTATCCTAACGAGTCAGTAGGACTCCCAAAGGGCCTCACGCCACAGCTCTCCCCGAAACCCCAACCTGAACTCACAATAAGAAGAGGGCAGCTCCAGGTCACTGCAGGAGCACTGTGCTCCAAGTGCCATCCAGGTGTTCTGTGCAAATTCTTTCCAATCCTGTTGTCACCCAGATAGTCCAGGCCCTAGGTGGGAACAAATGAAGCCTCATGGGCACGACTGGCAGAATCTCTTGGTCTTGAAGCCTTCTGCTGCTAATGCAGAGATTTCCTTTCCTGCTCAGAGCCTTCCTTCCCTCCTTCCCAGTGAGCTGCCACTGAGCCAGACACCTGTGCCCAGCACAGTATCTGGCTTTACAAGCTCAGCAGTGTCTGGAAGTGAGAAGGAAGCATTTCCGCCCCGATGGCAAACTCAGCTATGGGGCTGCAGAGTGGGACTGCTGGGCCCTCAGGTGGAAATCAGCACTTGATCGATTCAGGTTTAGAGCATTAGCCCCCTGCTGTCGCCAGAACTGCCCCTTTCCTTCAGCCCGTGGTGGTCTCATGCTGGCTGGGCTGGGGCTCCCTCACTTGGTGACTCGTGCTTTGCCCAGCAGCAGGCATGTTCCTGCGTGGAGCATGGAGTTACGTGATGGCCTGCCTGTCCGCGAAGTTCCTCCGGCCTCCTCCGATTCTGTGGCTGCAAATCCACAGAGAGGAGCTCCGCAGGCCTGCTGGAGCACAGTGCCGGTGTGTTCCGGAGCCTGGAACCCACCTCCGTGCTCAGGGCTGCTAGCTGCATTCAGTCTCTTTTCATAGATGTGGAAGCCAGCATAGTTAGGAACTTGTCTAAGGTCACGTGGTAATAAATACCGGAACAGGGATTCAAACCCACATCTCCAGAGAGAGCTCAGAAGCCTTGTGCTTCCCACCAGTGCAGCTGTTCCCAGAGACTCCGGCCCTGTCTCACCGTCCCAGACTGCCTTGAGGGGCTCTTGCTGGCCCGTCTCTAGTGTGGCCAGATTCTCTCTGGTCAGTGGCAAGGGAGGACACCAGACAACAAGACTGACATCAGGGACGAGAACAGACCTGCAGGGCCAGCGATCCAGGCTCGGGAAAGGCTGGGAGTGGCCCCTGCGTGGCTTTCACCAGACCCGTCGTCAGGGGCTCCAGGCCTCCAAGTGTTGTGCTGCCTCCAAAATCGACCCTGGGTGAGCTGTGGAGGTGAGAAGGCAGTCTGGATTTCAGAAACTTACCAAAATCAGTGAGAAAATCCCGGAGAAACTGACGTTATCCTGGGCGGCTGTAGCTGGGGATGGAGGATGGGGCAGCTAGGGGCCGGACCTAAGAAGGCTGTTCACACTCTGCTCTTGTCGCTTGCCTCTCACACCTCGTGACACACGCTGCCTGGTCTTGCTCAGGTGCCAGGATTGCAACGTGGCTGTGCCAGCCAGGGAGAGGGCCCCACCTGCCACTGATGCCACGTGCCCTCCATCCTCCTCCTGCAGCCCCGCTGGGCGGGACAGTTGCATCCAAGGAAATGGGCCCCTTCCACTGTGATCTCTTCCAGGGTTTTCGATGGAAGACCTGCCTGCAGGAGCAGCTTGCGGGGTTGCAGGATGCAGGAGAGAGTGTGTGGTGCTCTGTGCCTGGGCCCTCTGCTCTGGGGTCACCCTCCTCATTGACTCATTGGGAGCCTTCCTGGTGCAGACAGGGCAACCAGGAGCTGCGAAGCCCAGGGAATGCACACATGTGCACTGGAGCAGCTGCCCATTCCGGGAGCCCAATGGCCACCAAAACCTAGCAGGCTGCACAGTGTCCACTACTGGAAGCAGAGTTATTAGAAAAGATAGACCAAACATATTTAATAAACGCAATAAATACCTTTTTACATACAGAAAAATATTATTAGCAATAAGACCCAAGACAAAGAAACTACAGAAAAGAACCAAGACAAAATATGACACAGGAAAAATGTAATCAGGCCGGGCACGGTGGCTTACTCCTGTAACCCCAGCACTTTGGGAGGCTGAGGCGGGTGGATCACCTGAGGTCGGGAGTTCAAGACCGGCCTGACTGACAAGGTGAAACCGCATCTCTACTAAAAATACAAAAATTGGACCCTTTTCACAAGATGGCGCCGAAAGCGAAGAAGGAAGCTCCTGCCCCTCCTAAAGCCGAAGCCACAGCGAAGGCATTAAAGGCCAAGAAGGCAGTGTTGAAAGGTGTCCACAGCCACAAAAAAAAGAAGATCCGCACGTCACCCACCTTCCGGCGGCCCAAGACACTGCGACTCCAGAGGCAGCCCAAATATCCTCGGAAGAGCGCCCCCAGGAGAAACAAACTGGACCACAATGCTATCATCAAGTTTCCGCTGACCACTGAGTCTAACATGAAGAAGACAGAAGACAACAACACACTTGTCTTCATTGTGGATGTTAAAGCCAACAAGCACCAGATCAAACAGGCTGTGAAGAAGCTCTATGACATTGATGTGGCCAAGGTCAACACCCTGATCCGGCCTGATGGAGAGAAGAAGGCATATGTTCGACTGGCTCCTGATTACGACACTTTGGATGTTGCCAACAAAATTGGGATCATCTAAACTGAGTCCAGCTGGCTAATTCTAAATATATGTATATCTTTTCACCGTTAAAAAAAAAATACAAAAATTATCCAGGCGTGGTGGCAGGTGCTTGTAGTCCCAGCTATTTGGGAGGCTGAGACAGAATTGCTTGAACCAGGAAGGTGGGGGTTGCAGCGAGCTGAGATATTGCCACTGTACTCTAACCTGGGTGATGGAGCAAGACTCTGTCTCAAAAAAAAATGTAATATCAGTGAATTAAATACCACATTAGATTGGGTGAACAGGGTAAATGCAGATGAAAGAGGAAGCTAGTCATTACTTTAAAGATATGGATGTTGGTCGGGCGTGGTGGCTCATGCCTGCAATCCCAGCACTTTGAGAGGCCAAGGCAGGTGAATCACGAGGTCAAGAGTTCAAGACCAAACTGGCCAATGTGGTGAAACCCCGTCTCTACTAAAAAATAGGAAAAAATAGCTGGGCATGCTGGCTCATGCCTGTAATCCCAGCTACTTGGGAGGCTGAGATAGGAGAATTGCTTGAACTGGACTGGACCTGGGAAGTGGAGGTTGCAGTGAGCCGAGATCGTGCCACTGCACTCCAGCCTGGGCTACAGAGCAAGACTCCATCTCAAAAAAAAAAAAAGATAATGGATGTCACAGTGTGGACTTTGGAGCTGGTCCACTTTAGTTGGGAGAATTTGTAGAGCATTTGTTTACAAAAAGTACTAATCACCCAGGTATGTTTGGGCAGAAGGGACTGGAAAAGTCAAGGGCAGGGGCCTGGCACAGGCAGCAGAAGCAGAGCTCTTGCCAGCAGATGTCCTAAGAGACCAGTGGAGTGGGAACCTTGGGGAGAGGGTGCTCAGAAGGAGCAGGGACACTCGGCCGAGGGATGCAGTCAGCCAAGGCAGCCTCACATAGAGGGTTTTCACAGAAACAAATGCACTGACCACTTCATTCCCATATCTTCTGCTGAGGTTCCCATGGCAAGTGGAGAGAGCAGCCACACATGGCCTCAATCACTTGGGCCCACAGGGAGGCAAAGTGAGCTAGGTAAGTCTCCCTGTTCGCAAGAATGGAGTCCTGACAGGGGGGCCAGCCCTGACAATGTCTAACCACGCCCAGTGCTTGAGTGGGGTTGTGTCCTCTCGACTTTGAGGGATTGGAAGGGGGGGATGGTCCTGTAGGCAAGGGCTTTCTTCACAAAGAGCAGAGCGGAGCAGCTGCAGGCACCTGCAGCCCCTCCGTGTGAGGAGCCCTAGGCAGGCTTGGCTGGGAAGTGGGGTGTTTGTGGGATGGGCATCCTCCTGCAGCCGCAGCCCCTCCTGGTGAGGGGCCCTCGACGGGCTTGGCATCACTGGGATAGGCTTCACTCCCTGCAGATGTGCTCAGGGCAGGCCTCCCTGGCCTGCACCAACCTTTGCCATTCTCTTGCCTTCTCCCCTCCAATGGCCACACGAGATACCAGCCTGTCCAGCGCTTTCTATAAGCTTTGTTGGTTTTCCCAAAATGCCAAAAAGAATACTGGGGGAGTCTCAGTGATGAGTGGACGTCTTTGCCTTCCCATCTTCATCTTTCCTGAGCCACACCTACGGCCCTCTTCCTCTTCCTTGCCACCCTCAGAAACATCCTTAATCCCTTCTCTTGAGTTGTGACAGGAGGATTTCTGGAGCCAGACTCCTGCTGGAGCTGACCTGACAGCTGGGGGGAAGAGGACACTGGGCCTGTCCACAGCCCTTCACTGCAGGGGACCCCCCGGGGAGCACCAGGCTAGAGCCAGACTTCACTGAACACTGTCTCCCTCCACCCACAGGGTCCCAGCTCTTTGGCGCCAGCCTGGCTTCCAGCCTGACACACAGGGCCACTCAACACCATTCAGTGGTGCAGCCAGGAGTTCAGAAACCAGGGCGATGCTGAGGAAGTGGGTGAGGGGCAGGGAGAGAACACAGACATATACGTGAGCCAGAAGGAAACTCAAACCATGATGCGTCTGAGATTTTATTTGTTTATAAATAATAACTCAGTCTCACTCTGTCATCCAGGCTGGGGTGCAGTGGTGTGAGGACACTCTCCCTGCAGCCTCTACTTCCTGGGCTCAAATCATCCTCCCTCTTCAGCCTCTCGAGTAACTGGGACCACAGACACGCACTGCCACACCTGGCTAATTTTTAAAAACTTTTTTGTAAGGAAGGAATCTCATTATGCCGCCCGGGCTGGTCTTGAACTCCTGGGCCTCTCAAAGTGCTGAGATTATGGGGGGACCCCCTGTGCCTGGCCTCATTTTATTTTTATATTCACTCAAAATGACAACCTCGACAGGTTTCCTTGCAAAGGTGTGCAGAGGACAGCAAGGACTTCAAGGAGTAGATCAGGAGGACTTGGGTGGGGCTCGGCACCTTCCCCACCCCCCACTGTGAGCGCAGGAGGAGGACCACCTGCTATCCTGACGCTCTTCCCTGAAGAAGCCCTCATGTCGATTTTTGTATTATAGTGTTTCTTGCTCACCACGCAGGAATTAAGGCTGGCAGGAGTGAAACAGACAGACTTTCCACACAATATTAGACCCCAAATGGTGAAACGTGGAGGAAGATTCCCCCAGCTCTGCCTAGAGGCTCCTTTCTCCTGAGGGCTTCAGCAGCACTGGGCGGATGCGGCTACACCAGGGTCTGACTATGGAAGACAGGAGCCCTGTTCTGCGTCCAAGCTATTGAGATCCTGGGAGGGTTGACTAAGGCCACCTGTAATACCAATGGGAACGAGGGTGGGGCCAGAGTGATGCCGTAGTGGGGGAAGTTATTTCATATATATATATATATATATATAAACATTTTTTTTAATTTTAATTTAAAAAAAATTTTTAGAGGAAGAGAGAAAGAAAGAGAAAGAATAAAAAAAAGAAAAAGAAAAAAAAAGAATGAAGGAGAGGAAGAAAGAGGAAGAGGGAGAGAGAACAGGGGTGTTGCTTTATTGCCCAGGCTAGAATGCAGTCTAAAGATGGGTATGCCTGTAATTGTGTTTAATAATGGAGACATAAAAAAAAATGAGGGAAGAAAATAACAAGCAGCCAACCAATATTTCATTTAAACCTGTAAATAGGTGTGATGTGGTACTGATAAGAGCGTATATTTTGTGTATTTAAAGTGGAGAGTTCTACAAATGTTAATTAAGTTTACTTGTTCCGGATCTGCGTTCAAGTCCTGGATATCGTTGTAAATTTTCTGTCTCATTGATCTGTCTAATATTGATGTTGAAGTCTCCCACTATTATTGTGTGGGAGTCCAGGTCTCTTTATAAGTCTTATATATCTGGGTATTCCTGTATTGGGTGTGTATATATTTAGGATCTTTAGCTCTTCTTGTTACATTGATCCTTTTATCATTACGCAATATCCTTCTTTGCTTCTTTTGATCTTTGTTGCTTTAAAGTCTATTTTATCAGCAAAAATTGCAACTCCTGCTTTCTATTTATTAATTTTTGCTCACCATTTGGTTGGTAAATCTTTCTCCATCCCTTTGTTTTGAGTCTTTGTGTATCCTTGCATGTGAGATGGATCTGGATGTAGCATACTAACGGGTCTTGGCTTTTTTTGCCTATCTGTGTCTTTGGATTGGGGGATTTAGTCGAATTAAATTTAGAATTCATAACAATATATGTGAATTTGATACTCCCATTTAATGTTAGCTGGCTGTTTTGCCCATTAGTTGATGTAAATTCTTGATTATGTTGATGCTCTTTACTTTTTGGTATTTTTTAGAAAGGCTGATACTGGTTGTTCCTTTCTATTTGTAGTGGTTCTTTCAGAAGCTCTTGTAAAGCAGGCCTGGTGGTGATGAAATCTCTGAGTGCTTGCTTGTTCACAAAAGATTTTATTTTTCCTTCGCTTATGAAGCTTAGTTTGGCTGGATGTGAAATTCTGGGTTGAAAGTTCTTTTCTTTAAGGATGTTGAATATTGGCCCCCACTCTCTTCTGGCTTGTAGGGTTTCTGCTGAGAGATCTGCTGTGAGTCTGATAGGCTTTCCTTTATGGGTAACCTGACCTTTCTCTCTGGCTGCCCTCAGTATTTTCTCTTTCATTTCAACCCTGGTGAATCTAGCGATTATGTGCCTTGAGGTTGGCCTTCTTGAGGAATATCTATGTGGTGTTCTCTGTATTACCTGGAGTTGAATATTGTCCTGCCTTGCTAGGTTGGGAAAGTTTTCCTGAATAATATCCTGAAGCGTATTTTCCAGCTTGGATTGATTCTCTTGGTCACATTCAGATACACCTATCAAACGTAGATTAGGTCTTTTCACATAGTCCCATATTTCTTGGAGACTTTGCTCGTTCTTTTTTATCCTTTTTTCTCTAATCTTGTCTTTTTGTTTCATTTCATTAAGTTGATCTTTGACCTCTGATATATTTTCTTCTGCTTGATCAAGTCGGCTGTTAAAACTTGTGCATAGTTCACGAAGTTCTCGTGCTGTGTTTTTCAGCTCCATTAATTCACTTATATTCCTCTCTAAATTGTGTGTTATTGTTAACATTTCACCAAAGCTTTTTTCAAAGTTCCTAGTTTCTTTGCATTGGGTTAGAACAAGTTCTTTTAATTCACAGAAGTTTCTTATCATCCACCTTTTGAAGCCTGCTTCTGCTAATGGAACACACTCGTTCTCCATCAGGCCTTGTTCTGTTGCTGATGAGGAACTGCGATCCCCTGTAGAGGGAGAGGTGTTCTGATTTTGGGTATTCTCAGCCTTTTTAGGCTGGTTTCTTCCCTTCGTTATAGATTTATCCATCTCTGGTCTTTATAATTACCATCTTTATAGTTGGGTTTCTGAGTGGACGTCCAACTTGTTGATTCCCAGCGCTAAAATCTGAGCAACCCACTGCGCTGGCCAAAACGGCGGCGTTAAGATTGATGGCGCTTTCTGATTCTGCACCAAGAACCACCGCACCAAGGCAGTGGCAAAACTGCCTCGTCGGCCTCAAGAGTTGCGCTGGCGACCCGTGGGGCTCCTCCGCTGGGAATCTCCTGGTGCGTGAGCAACAAAAATTGATCTGAAAGTGTGGCGTCCTCTCGTTCTCTGTGCTTTCAGTGGGAGCTACAATCCCGAGCTGCTAGTGATCAGCCATCTTGGATCTCTCCTAATTAAAAAAATTTTAAGACAGGGTGTGCTCTCTGTCGCCTAGGCTGGAATGCAGTGGTGCCATCATATTATAGATGACTGCAGCCTCTATCTCCAGGGCTCAGTGATCCTCCTGCCTCAGCCTCCCAAAGTGTGGGGATTACAGGCGT